CTGTTTCTGGCAACAATGCCAAGAATCGACAAGTTCATGGAGCACTGTCTCTTCATGTAGATGATCTTCTTATGACGGGGGATGACGTGTTCGAGAAGGAAATCATGGGACGACTTCGGAAAGATATTCAGGTTGGTTCCGAGGACAACAATATTGCCTCTTCGTAGGACAGCGCATCCAATGGAAGCAAGATGACAAGCACGGTTGGTACATCAAGGTTCATCAGAATGTGGCCATCGACGAACTGCAGGAGATCACTTTAATGCATACTGCATACAGAAGTGTCCTAGGTCAGATCAACTGGTTACAGTCGCGAACGCAGTTCCACATTGGTTATCAATTCTCCAGGTGTGCATCCAAGGCATCATTACCGACCATTGAGGACGTTCGCGCCATTAATAAGACAGTCAGAACCATCAAAAGCATCCCGCTTAGCATGAGATTCTGGCCCCTTCGTGGCAAGACACGCATAGTTGGCTATCCAGATGCATCCTATCGCAACAACGAGGATAAGTCATCCCAACGTGCGCATGTTATCTTTCTCGCAGAACAAAGAGATCTTCGCCAGGGCTCATCGAACTCGAGAGGCTCACTGGTCGACTATGAGACGCACAAGACCACCGCCACAACCATGTCCACTACTGTTGCAGAGTTGCACGGACTAATGCGTTGTTACGGTTCAGCATTATTTCTTCGCGGCCTCTGGTCAGACATAACGGGCGAAATTGCAGATGTACACATCAGCACTGATGCGAACAATCTTGTCACCACAGCATCCACAACACATCAACCGGAACAGAAAGAAACAATGCATTTGATCCAGATGTTGAGAAAGGAAAGCAACAGTGGACAGATGCACGACCTTGCACATGTACGGAGTGAAGATTGTCTGGCAGATTCGCTGACCAAGCATTCAGCTAAAGCAGACGAGCTCATCAAGGCCGTCCTCACCGGCAATCTCTTGAATGTAGATGCACATCCACCCTTCCGTACCATGTTGCAGAACAAGGCATTTTTGGTTGAGTGGCTAGCGCGCAACACGAAGCACGGACCCGACATCATTGCCTTTGCAGGAGTCGGTATAGCAGAATCCATGTTTGCTTATTGGGGAACCTGGGCATGATCCGCATGTCCACGAATTCTGATGCATGAGTTTTCCCGTTTTGCATATTTTCAATTCCTCCAAGAAATATGTGTCTGCATCCGCAGCCACTTTCGGTTTACAACCAATCCGACCTTTGCAATCTTGTATGCTCGATCACTTCGAAGACATGCCCATTCTCAATATGATCTTCGGACGATCCAGTGCCGCGGCACCTGTGCCAAAGACAATGATCAAGAGACGGGTATCACCGTTGAAGGAATCCCCTGCCCGTGATGAGGAAGATGAGACATCAGACTGCCCCATGGAGCAAGTCGCCGATGAGAATCCATCCGCCTCTCAACAACCCGAGAATGTCAACATGGAGCAGGTTGATTATGATCCAGATTCCGACGACGATGATTCAGATGAAGATGGGCATCCTCCCGCAAGAAGGCCTACGTCAAAGGTGATGCCGCATCCGAAACTTGTTTTAAAGTCACCGCCACCAGCATTGAGGCTTGTCTCCAAGGTCAAGCCAACACCAAAGAACATCCTGGATGAAGAGACGGAATCCGACAATCATCCTGGTGATCGACCTGCACTTCCAAGGCGACCAGTGATGCGGCCTGTTCTCACACCCAATGATCGGTGGTTTGTAACATATGGATCGGATACAAAAATCAGCCTTTAGAAGGAATCCGTACACCCAGGATCCCAGTCAAACCCTTCGGGGAGAATGCACGTCCACATGGCATGCATCGATGACGTCATCCTTGACGACGATGAGTCAGAAGCCGCATTGACCCATGTGCCCGCAGGAAGAGATGCGCTGTTGATCCTTGCATTCCTCAAGGACCAAGACTATGGCATCCGACTCTCCGAAGAGCGAACAGCGTTGACAGACAAAACCATCGAGGCAAGGAACATTGTTGCAGCATTTGAACCTGATGGCAGCCTCATGGCGAGCAACAAGTGGATCATGAAGAAGCATCTCAGTTATGAAGATTACGAGATGTGCGACACCAAGATCCGCGAATTTGCCGATGCCTTCTTCAATTATGTGAATTCCACCAAGCACAGCAAGGAAAATGATACTTCCTCAGAGACCAAGAAGAGACGGCATTCCACCGATCAGGACGAAGCTGAAGAAGAGACGATGGAACCCTCCGGGGAAAGATCCGTCAAGCCAAAAGTGACCGTGGAATATCACAATTCAGAGAACCTAGGTGAGTTCATCCAAGAACTCAAGGGAATCTATCTCGACACAGATTTGAACAAAAAGGACGCAGAGGAAGAGCTCGCGGAGACCAAGGCAAACCTCTCCCGCTTCATGAACAAGTTCAACAAAGGTCCAAGAAGAGCTCATCCCAACTTGACAGAGTGCGAGAGAGCCTCATTGGCGCATGTTGATCCCGATGTCAATCTTGGAGAAGAAGAATTCTACTTCCCTCATCAAGGAGAATGTCCCACCATTGACGAGCACAAGCAAGCTCAACCAGGATCCGGATATCCAATTAAGCTTCCGCTTGGATTGAAGAAGCTCAGGTCACATGATGACCCGGAAATCATCCGAGCCTATGCCGATATCCTGGGATCGCTGATGCAGCCGACCGACCGTCCTCCTGGACTATCTCAATATGCATGAGTTCACCTCATCCATAGCGATCAACATGCTTACCCTGAACCATGGAAACCTCACAAGGAATCCAAAGCTGGACAACAGGGAGGTGTACAACATGCCGATGAAGGATCGACCGATCGTAAAGATGATGATGCAGAACAGTGCACACATCTTATGCCTGAATGAAGCAGACGCATTCTTCAGTCCTAATGATGAGAAATCCAGGGAGCTCATCAAGACGTTCATCCGATGCGGTTACAAGGGCATCGTGATCAAGCAATGGTCATCCAGACCGATCGCATGCTTTGTCCGTGGCGGACCTTCTGCAAGAGTGGAACTTCTGGCAAGACACATTTCCGCCAAGAGCCAGAGTTGGGGAACCACATTTGGAATGTTCAGATGTTTCTTCGGAACTGAAGGAAGTTGCACTGATCCCGAATACGAAATTCCGACCTCGGATGGCAACCACAGGACAATCCATGTTTACTGAATCCAAGAAGTACATTGGACCGAGATTGCCAACACGCACCATTGTCCAAGGACATGGCCGAGACAAGGAGATCGTCGTTCTCCATATCGAGCAGAGTGAGGAGTACAAGTCACTCCACGAGTATGACGACCGCCACATAACGAGGGCAGATCTCCCATTCGCTACCATTGGAGTTTTCCACATCCATCCTTCAATTAGCCATGGAGCAGTAAGGGAAGATCTTCAAAATGAAATCATGCCGCTCGTGACTTTGCACCGATGCGATGTGATCACCGGAGACGCCAACAAATCAGCGAACACCTACAGCAAACTCCAGCACGTCTTCAATCCGGCCAACGGTCTCGTGAACATCCTCATGAGAGCATATCAGAGACTGTGGAATGAAACGAAAGATTTGCCACTCGTGGACAGAATGGAGTATGCAGTGGAGACTTCGTGCACCCTAAAATCCATTGTCCGTCATCACCTGTCCATGAAGTGTGGATCAGGATATGATCGAACATTCCCAGATGTGATGATGACTTTCGTATTTGGCTGGGGCAGAGCGAACATCCAGCAGGCTTTCCGGAAGGACGAGATGAACGGCATGGATGATGAACAACTGGAATTCATGCGGAACCATCCAACCAAGGCCATATTCGATTACCAGGTGTCATCCGCAGAGCGCTTTAAGCACGTGAACAATGACATGTTCATGAATGGCTCGCAGGACTCCGACTCTCACAGTCCTCTCATGGTTTACATCCGCAGCAAATCTGCAACCAGGCAACGCAGCTCTGAGAGATACCAGGAGTACATAAAGAAGAAACAAGCCTGGACCCCGCAGGAGTACAAGGACTACAACAAGCAGTGGGGACATCAGAAGCAGTGGAAGGACTATAGCAACTCGACCTGGAATGATTATGCAAACTATGGCAGTCAATCCGACAGCAGCCGCCGATGGTATCGTCGATCCGACTGACCATGAAGATTTATGCGTTCAGCGCCACGAACTCAATGCAGATGATTGATCCTCGCCGTCTACAAGACTATACCATGAGTGAGAGATCAATAGTTTCACAATCGTCCCGTGTGTACATAGCGTTGTACATCACCCTTTGATACATCTAGGTATCTCAAAAAGAAGCAGTACATAGTGTTTTCCATTTCGAAAGCCAAGACATTTCGTCCGAGCAGAAAAGAGGATGAATCCGGCATTTTTAATACACATGGCTACGGCATACAGCATGGCTACGGCATACATCAAGGCTACGGCCAAAGGCCACGAAGCCAATAGTATTTCATACTTAGTGCTGGAGATCAAAAGAAATTTGTGTCTGTTTTGTGTTTGGTTCTCAGACCAGTTGATCTCCCGCAACATTTGGCTCAAGGCCCCTTTTTGTATATCATTGCATCATTCATGATCGCGTGACGCAAAAGAACCTTAGCAGGCCGCTTACAGGATTATCCACAAGACAATCCACCAGGGACAATCCATCCTCCAATCATCCACATTGGCATATTGGATTCTCTCCGGAATAGATCCAGGGACCAACAAAACGACCTCTACTACCACAGGGTACCAGTTCCTTCGGGGATAGGCACCTGGCGCAGTGGGCCTCACCCCCCCCCCCCCCCCCCCGCAATAGTCTGGAATGGTGTCCCTGGGGAGGGGTAAGGGGAGGGGTAACAGGTAAAGAGGTAAGGAGCATTTCTTATGTCCAACACGCCGTGTGTTGTCGGCGGATTGTGTGAGAAATGTTGATCCTTTGGCCTGGCACAAATCAACGGCATAGACTCACTTGCTTTCCTACACCGCGCTTTAGGTCACTGCACATCTTCCGCCTTAAGGCCTCGGGCTTGGATGTGTTTCGGGTTGGCCCAGCCTGGAGTTTGGTGTAACATGCACACAGCTGAGGCAACTGAATAGCTTTGGGAGTTGAATCCATTGCCTCAAAGTTGGAATCTTGAATCTGGTGAGATCATACATGTTTGAAAACTTGATTGGAGGAGTTAGAGTTGGCAGCAACCAGGGCTGCCCTTCCAGAATGTTTGACACAGCAGGAGAACCCACTCTGCTTAGTTATTTCACAGAACTAAAGTTCGCAATTGATGACCACAGTTGCTTATTGTTTGTCCGTCCACAGCTCAGGACAACTCGCTGCAGAAGGTGATTGCAGCGCACGAACGGCCGATAACCTCAATTTGCTGGTGTCCTGAGGACAGCAATTGATTGACTGGCATGGAGTCCAGCTTTCCGAAAATTCCCCCCTTCGGAAGAGCCAGAGTGTTTGGATGTACATTGTGGAAGCCACTTTGGTTGGATTGCGGTTGCCAGGACAGCCGGCTTCTGGCGTGCGCCCTTCCTGATTCACCTTCACCCAGTGGAATGTTCAAGTGAAGCTTGTTTGAATGAATTGCTTTGCAGTCGAGAGAAGCTGAAGGTGCGCTTGGCATTTGCTGCCAGGTCTTGCTCTTTGGGGATGCGCCTTACCATTTGGGATATTGACAACGAGGAGGAGCGCGTCGCACTCAAGGCCCAAGCGACGGACATGAGTGGGGAATTGTTTGCGTCTTTGGCAGCCTTTGGTTGTGACATGACAACTGTGTGGCTTTACCGTGCGGGGTGCAGGGCCAAAATCCAGGTTGAAGCTTGATGTGGGTCACTCAATAGTAGAGAACCCAAAACAATGGCGAAACCCGCCAAGACAAATATACACAAATCTGCCCTTCTCGCGTAGTCTATTGGCTTAGCCTTGGTTTAGTGTTGCTGATGCTGGTTTAATATTGGCTTAGTATTGTTTTGTCGTGCTTTGTGTTGGTTTAGCATCAGTCCTCTTTGCGCCGTCTTGGTCCTTTCTGTTTAGTAGTGGTTTAGTATTCGTCAGTGCTGCCTTAGTACTGGTTAGATGGGTGTAGTATTGGTTTGCAAAAAAGTTAGTATTTTAGGATAGGGGTACCCTCAAGCAAATCCTATGCTTGAATATCAGGGGCTCGGCTGTTCTCCCTCTTGGAAACTTGTTGGTCGGGCTCTTTTCAAGAAGGCTTAGATCAAGAATTTGTAGTTTGGAATCAGCGCCTGGTTTCTGGGTTTTGGATTTTGAGGTAGGGTGGAAGACGAAGAGTGAACTGACAGGGTCGAGTCAGAGCAAACAGGGTCACACTCCCTGGAGGCTGGGCGAAGAGTTGGTGAAGAGCTATGAGGAGACCCTATGTTAAATCATTTTTTCTGTATTGAGAACCCTTTTCTATTTGGGGGGGGGGGGGGGGCGGGAATGGTTTTTGGACCACTTCTTTGCATGTGTTGCCCGTTGATTCATCGGGTACCGGCAATGGCTCCGTGCGGCAACTCACCAGATGCAGGTGGGCGAGGTGCCAGTGATTATGGACTGGGCAAGCTCCGGTGACAAG